TTTTTTTTTTTTTTTTTTAGTACTAGTTTTTTTCACAGCTGACCTAGTCAGGCCCTTCATTGAGGAATTGGGCTCAGTGAGTCCCTGGGAGGACTGTCGGACCAAGTAGTAGGTGACTGTAGGAGTCCTGGTCTTTTTCTTTTCTCTCCTCTCTCTTTCTCTCTTCCCCTCAATCCCTGCCCCCATAGGAATCTCACTGTTGGTCAGGCTGGCCTTAAACTCCTGCCAGGCTCAGGCAGTCTTCCTGCTTTCAGCCTACCACTTCACCCTCCCAAGTATCTGGGATTGTAGGTTATACCACAATGTCCAGTTTTATTTCCTTTTCTTTGCTTGCTGTTGATTCTTGAGCACCATATCTGGTAAGTGTGTGTGGTGGTGGGGAGTTATGCCATTCCTCAGGAGGACAGAATACCTGTCATTTTTCCTATAGTCCCCAAAGAATGCCAATGTTTGTCTTTTACTGCCTGCTGGAGGCTGTAGTCCTCCCGCAGCTTTGTATCTGAGCCCTGGTGGTGACTGGTGGTTCCTGCAGCACTACCAGGTTAAGCCCTGGGCCTGTGGGTCAAGACTTGTTGCCTGCCTTCTTCTCTGACTCTGCTAGCTTACACATCTTCCTAGTGTTCTACGATACTGTTTTCTTCTTTAGTCCCACCCAACTAGAGAAACAATTTTTCTCTTTGTCTTAAATACAAAATGTACTAATTCAAGTATTTACAGGGCACCAATTGTGTGTCAGGCAGTGTTCCACCAACCACAGAAGTTAACATGACAGACAAGCCCCTGTTCTCAATTGAGTTTTCATTGTGTAGATGGAGAGACGAAGGAGAAGTCTGCGTGTAAGGGCTATGTAGAGAGTTAAAGCTGAATGTTACAATCGAGAATGGGTGGTTACTTTGATTAGGTAAGGTCTCAGATGGTCAGGTAAGAATGAAGACTGTAGGGGTGGGCAGCATGTGGCCTAGATAAAGGGGGTGGATAATACCAAGGGCTTGTGGAGCATGAGTGTGGCATCTTCAAAAGCTTAACAGTGGCCACTGTGTCTGGTAGGTGGTAGCTTGTGGGACAGGAGTGAGGAAAGTACCATGAGATGAAGTTGGAGAGATATTCAGGATTTAGTAAACAAGTTTTGTGCTTTATACTGTGAAGCCCCTGGAGGATATACCATAGTGTAGTAATAAGGTCTGATTTGGTGTTTTTAAGCTTTCTTGGGCTACAGTAAAGAGCTGATTGTGGAGGCAGGGAAGCAAGAGCTTGTTGGGTGGGACAGATGAGAGACATCTGCAGAATAGTCATGAAATAAAAATAGATTATCTGGAGATGTGTCCTTGAGCAGTGGTTCTCAGTCCTCAGTGTGCACATAGGCACCTGCAGGGCATGTTAACCTTACTGGGGGCCCATTCCTGATTCTACAGGTCTGAGGGTCTGAGAATCTGAGGATGGGCTCAGGAATCCACAGGTTTTGCAAGTTTCCTACCAAGTGATGGTAGTGACACTGGTGTAAGGTCTACACTAAAGAGCCACTATTTTAGCAGTAAAGAGGACTATGAAAGAATTGGATATAAAGATGAGGAAGTAAGAGGATTTGGAGTTATATTCAAAATATTGGCCCTGTGCACCTAGTCAGATAGATAACTGGTCCTGCAGATGTAGATGGCTGGACTACTGGAGTCAAGAATTCTGCTTTAAACAGGGGTTTTATCTTTTGAGTATTCATATAAATACTGGAAGTAGGCAGCTGGAGAGATAAATGTGGAGTACTGAGAGGTCAGAGTTGGAGCTACCAAGCAGAGAGTGGTTGGGATATTGGTGTTGCTTAGGGATAGGGAATGTGTGAAGTCAGCTGGGGAGATATAGCGAGATCAGGGAGAGGGCATCCCCGAGTTCATCCCTGGTGCCTGTTAGCATTTATAGAACTGTAGAGAAGAAGAAGAGAAGCAAACACAGGTGCTTGAGAAGGATGATACAGGGGGGTGGGAGAAAAAGCAAGGATGTGCTGTCCTCAGGAACAAATGTTTTAAAATGAAAGGACTGCTCTTGAGAGCCCCAAGGTAAGAAGACTCCAGTGGTTAAGAGAAGTGGCCATTGGATTTGTTCTTGTGCAGTCATTGTGTGTGAAGTGAGAAGGAGTAACCAAAGAGGCTCACCATATAGCAAACGCTGATGATAGGTTATGGAGAGCAGGGGACATGGGGTCAGTTTGGCAGATACAGGAAATATATGGAAATGAGGATCTGAATGTCACAGAGTGGTTTAATTTATTAATGAATGAAATAAAGTAAGGTATGAAGTATCTACTGATTCTTCCTGATTATAAGTCTGGATGATTGGCTCTTGCTGCTTTTCTGGTGTCATTGTCATGACTCCTCAAGGAGCTATATTTATAGGAAACTTATGGGCACCTTGGTACATGCCTGTAGTCCCAGCTACAGAGGAGGCTGAGGCAGAAGTGCCTGATCCCAGGAATTTGAGGCCAGCTTGGACAACGTAGTGAGACTCTGTCACTTTAAGAAAAAAAAAAAAAAATTGGGGCCGAGGAGATAGCTCAGTAGAATAAGCACTTGCCTGGCAAGCGCAGGGTCCTCAGTTCAATCCCTAGTACTGCAAAACAAACAAAAAAACAACTGTAAGAAACTCAAGAGTTCATGAGGGCTTTTCTCTCCTGGGGTGGTGGGCAGTGTCATGGTTGGGAAAAAGTATAAAGAGGCCTAACAGTGATAATCCTATTCCCTACCCTTCCTCCGCCCAGTTTCTCTTCCTGGGAGAAAAATCACTGTTGCCCTATGAGAAGCCCTGAGCTATAATGCTCAAGAGGGTTTCTTCAGATAGTATGAATGAGTCCCTGTCCCTAAAAAACTTGGAGTCTTTTGTGGGAAATGAGACCTGTCCTTGCAATCCTGAAAGCCTTACAAAAGAAGTCTGCCCTCCCCACTAAGCCTTTTTAACAGATTTTGTTTTATGGTGCTGGAAATCGAACCCAGAGCTTCATGTATGCCAGTGAAGTGCTGTACCACTGAGCAACACTCCAACCCAACAAATTTTTTTTTGTAGTCCAGGTTGGTTAAATTTATTTTCTTTCTTTCTTTCTTTCTTTCTTTCTTTCTTTCTTTCTTTCTTTCTTTCTTTCTTTCTTTCTTTCTTTCTTTCTTTCCTTCTTTCTTTTGTTTTTTGGTGGAACTGGGGATTGAACTCAGGCCCTTGCGCTTGCCACGCAAGCATGTATTCTACTGAGCTATCTCCCCAGCCCCTGGTCTTGAACTTTCTGTGAAGCTCAGATTGAGTTTGAACTTACTATCTTCCTACCTCAGCCTCCTGAGTACCAGGTTTACAGGTCTGTGTCACCACACCAACCAAGATTTACTTTTTAAATGACATAAAAGAGAAAGCCTATTTGTTTCTGTTTACCTAGGGAGCCGAGAGCATAACCACTTACACATTCAATACAAACAAAGCCCAGCATACCTTCTGTAAGAGATGTGGTGTTCAGAGCTTCTATACTCCCCGCTCCAACCCTGGAGGCTTTGGTGAGTAAAGTGTGGACTATAAGCTGAGGGAATGCTGAGGGGCCCAGGTGCTTGGGATGCAGGTGCTGAGTGGACAGGTAGATGCTGATGTGTTTGGCCTGCCCCTGCCTGACTAGATGCTCTCACAGGCATGTGTTAGAGCAACTGGGCTCTTCAGCAGAGCTCCTTCCAGTGGTAAGATGTGAAGCCTGAAGAACCATCTCAGTCCCATTTGGTGATGTGCTTCTCAAATTCGAGCCAGATTATGCTCATTGGTGCATCAGAGTTGTGTGTCACTGGGGGTGACTGAAGGCTAGAGAGAAGATGAACATTTTAAAGGGGTTGGGAGATGCTCATCAGGAGAGTGTTTGACACACACAAGGCTCCATTACCACCAAAAATAAAAATAAATTTTGTTAGAATACAACCTAGAGAACCTTCCACACATTTTTCAGCTCCTGGTTATATCTAAGAGCAAAACCAGCCCTCAGCCAGTTGTACTAGATACAGTTGAACTGAGGGGAAACTAGAGGTTGAAGATGTTTAGGGATGTGGGAACCGCTGTGATGACATCCACTTTGTGGTGGCAGGAGTGGAAGGGCATGAATCTCACACAAGCCCTTTCCCACGCTGTTTGTTCAGTATCTCCTAGTGGTTCTTCATTTGCCATATGGAGACTCCTTTCTGCCCACCTTGTGGGCCAGGAAAGGATTTTAAAAAATATAAAGTCCTGAACAAATGGGGAGTTACTTAATTCTTAGAAATTTTACCTGCACCCAGGAAAGGCCTGAGAATTCTTTGAGATTATATTCACCCTGAGCCTTTTTACTTTCCCTACTTAGCTTAGTTTTGCATAATGCCCATCCTTGGCCATCCCCATCCCTGGTTTAAGGAGTCCAGTCTCCATCTGCCAAGGGAGGACTACTGTCCAGAAGGCTGCAGTCACAAGCTGTGACCAGGGCCACCTGAGCTTAGCAGGCTATATGTTGGACCTCATAAGCTGAGGTCTTGAGCATATCTGGAATCTGATGCACAGGAGGATGATGCTTGCAGGTAGAAGGGTTTGTCCAGGAGCCAGTATAGTCTTTATCATGTGTACTTGGGACATAATCTTTCTCTGTGACTTTCTCCTAGGAATCGCCCCACATTGCCTGGATGAAGGGACGGTGCGGAGTGTGGTCATTGAGGAATTCAATGGCAGTGACTGGGAAAAGGCCATGAAGGAGCACAAGACCATCAAGAACATGTCTAAAGAGTGAGCTCCTGCTTCTCCCTTCCTGCAGAGGAGGAATCAGTGGGGCCAGCATACCACATGGGGGGTGCCCTGGTGTGGCTGCCCAGCTGATGGGGCTGCTGGCCAGAGACTGCCTTGGTCCCTGTGGCTTGCTCCAGCTACCAGTTCCTTTAGGCAGCTCTTTGCCCTTTCTCAGCCCAGATTTTGATGTAGACTAGTTCAGCCTCTTCCTTCTTTTCCCCAACTTTTGTGTGATCTTTTAGAAAATAAATATTTTTAACATTAATGCAGTTATTATAGCTCCTCATTTGCTTTGCACCTTGATTTTGCCTCTGAGGCCAGTTGTGGAACTGCAGATATTTGATGATATCTGATATTTGATGTCAAGATGTTTAGAACCAAGTTGACAAGAAGAGGTAAGAAAAGGAAATAGTGGATACAACTAGAACATTGTGACTGATCACCTTCTGTTTGCACTGTGAAGAGAGAAGTGGTAGACAGGAGACAAGGCCAGTCCAAGAAGATTTGAGTAAGATATGATGTGAATCATGTTTTGTTTTTCTGTCATTTTGAGATAGTCTCTCACTGGACTTGCACTCACTTTGTAGCCCAGGCTGGTCTTCAACTCTCAACAGTCTTCCTGCCTCAGCCTCCTGGGACTACAGGCATGTCCCACCATGCCTAGCTTCATTTTTGTTGTTGTTGTTGTTGTTGTTGTTTTTGTAGCGGAACTGGGGATTGAACTCAGGCCCTTGCACTTGCCAGGGAAGCACTTATTCCACTGAGCCATCTCGCTAGCCCATCATGTTGTTTTTAAAGCTAAATAAATTTCTAAATTTTTTTTTATTTTTAGCTGAGCTTAGCAGGCTGTGGTAAAATTCACATAAAATGTACAGTTCAGACATTTTTTTTTAAAATGTATTTGCTACAGGGTCTCCCTATGGAGCTCTGACTCATAGTGATCCTCCTGTTTTTAGCCTCCCCAGTACTGGAATTACAGGTGTGCACCCACATACCTGTTCTCAATGGCTGGCTGAGCTCAGTTCACCTGGGGGCAGGCCAGCGTGGCATGTGGTGCTGGGAATGGAACTCTGGTCCCTGTGCTTGCTTAAGCAGGTGCTTAGTCTGCTGAGCTATCACACTGTCCCTTCACTCATGTTAAATACATTGATGTACAACTGTCACCACCATCCATCTCCAGAATTCTTTTTATATTTTTATTTTTTCAGTGCTTGCACTCAGTGCCTTACTACATATGCTAGGCAAATGCTCTGTCATTGAGCTACGTTCCCAGCCCTCTTTGCCTTTATTTTGAGACAGGTTCTCTCTAAGTTTCTCTAGACTTTAATTTGAGATCCTCTTGCCTTAGCCTCCCAGGTACCTGGGATGACGGGTATGTAGCTCAGTTGCTCCCTAACTTTAATTGCCATTACCACCAAAGAAAACTCTAAAACTAAACCAAAATTTTTTTTTTTTTTTTTTTATGGAACTGGGGATTGAACTCAGGTCCTTGTGCTTGCCAGGGAAGCACTTATTCCACTGAGCCATCTCCCTGGCCCCAAAAAATTTTTGTTAAATTAATTAAAAAACAACAGCTTTGGGTCTTCTTTTTTTTTTGAGACAGCATCTCACTGTGCAGCTCAGGCTGGCCTTCAGCTCACATTATAGCCTAGGCTGGTCTTGAACTTGCCACAATCCTATCTCAGCCTCCCAAGTCCTGGGACTACAGATATGAGCCACCACCCCTGGACTTACCTTTTTGAGATAAGGTCTTATGAGATAGACCAGGCGGGCCTTGAACTCACTGCAGTCCTCCTACCTCAGCTTCCCAAGTCAGGTGTGTGCCAATACACGTGGCCTAGCTTCTGAACAACTTTGAACAAGGGGGAAAGTGTTAGGGTTGATTCTCATCTCCCTCTCTTGCTGCCTATATATTTTGATCAGATCAGCTTTTCCTTAGACTTGATTTTTGTTAACAATTGCTGAAGATGGAGTACATTTGGTATCACTCCTTTCTGTTTGTGTATCCAAGGAAGCATCCTTAAATCTCTCTCCTGATTGCCGTCATGTAAATCAGAGTCTCCTAAGGAGCTTGAACAACTTCAGAAGCTCTTCATGGAAGAGCTGAGCTATGAAACAACTGGTGAGAGTCTGAACAGCCATAGTGAGCAATGGGAGACCATCACAGACTGTGGCAATGAGCACTCTGGACAACTGAGTGCTCCAGAAGTACCATGATGTGAAGCGAGGGCAGCCCGGTTGAAGCAGGGATGCTAAGTTCTGGACATGGTGGTGGTGGACATGGAAGTGGTTTTGGTGGCAATGATTTTGGTCTCGGAGGAAACAGTGGTCAAAGTGGCTTTGGTGGCAGCCGTGGTAGAGGTGGTAGAAGTGGATGTGGTGCCAGGTATGGCTACTGTGGATGTGGTAAAGTTGGAAGCAGTATTGGAGATGGCAGAAGCTACAATGATCTTTTTATTTTTATTTATTTATTTTGTATTTTAGGACAGGGTGTACAGGGTCTCACTGCATAGATTGGACCCATAGTGATCCTCCTGTTTACAGTCTTCCAAGTGCTGTGATTACAGGCACGTACTACCAGGCCCAGTCTCAATTGTGGGTCAGCGTGCTCCAGGGGTGGGGCCAGCACAGCAGCCTGGGGATCAAACTACCAGCCCCTGTATCTGCCTAAACAGGCACTTTAATCTGCTGAGCTATTTGGCCGGCCCATTATGGTCTTGGCAGTTACAACAACCAGTCTTCAAATTTTGGACCAATGAAGGGAGGAAAGTTCGGAGGCATAAGCTCTGGGTCCTATGGTGGTTGTCAAACCATGAAATCAAGGTGGTTTTGATGATTCCAGCAGCAGCAGTTGCTATGGCAGTGGCAGAAGGCTGTAAATATTTGAGAAAACAAAACTTAGCAGGAGAGGAGAGCTAGAGAAGTGACAGGGAAACTACAGGTTACAACAGATTCATGAATTCAGCCAAGCACAGCGGTGGCAGGGCCTAGCTGCTACAAAGAGGCCTAGGGGCTGTCCTGTTTTAGATGTTACTCATATGTATGGGCAAAAACCCTCATGGAGGGGCTGGTGAGATGGCTCAGTGGTCTAAAGCACCTACTTAGAACAAGCTTAGCAAAAACAAAGGGACCGCAGTTCAATCCCCCAGCACCACATGCCAGCCAGCCCCGCCCCCTGGTGGGCTGAGCTGGCCACACACACACACACACACACACACACACACACAAATAAAATAAATAAATTAAAAAAAAAACAACCCTCATGGACTATATAACACGTTATTTTAGTTTCTGTTCTATGGATATTGCAAAGCATAATAGTTTTACTGCAGACTTCTTTGCACTTGGTTGATTGCTAAATGTCATAGTCTGATAATGATGCTGAATAAATGCGTCTTTTTAAAAGAATTAAAAAACAAGAGCCAGGGAGCTTGCTCAGCCAACTAAGAGCCTGCTTAGGCAAGCACAGAGACTGGGTTTGATTCCTGGCACCACAAGCCGTGCCACCCCCACCTGGGCATGCTGAGCTGGCCACCAAGACGGGGTGTGGTGGCGCATGCCTGTAATCCCAGTGCTGGGGAGGCTGAAAACAGGAGGATCACTACGAGTCCAAGCTGCATAGTAAGACCCTGTACCAAATACATTTAAAAAAAAAAAAAGAAACAAGTAATCTCAATAAATATTTGTTCTTTGCTTTAGGAAAACCAATTATAAAGTGATCTGTAAAGTAGACTGTGCAAGAGGGAAGGACACAGAGAGGGACTCAGATGGCGAGTTCCCAGTTTCTGTTTGGTCAGTATCTGGTCAGCTGCCAGCTGCCCTTGGCCAACAGCTACCTTCACATTGGCATTGGGAGGTGCTGGAAAAGCGCAGAACTGGATTTTCAGAGACAGAATGCCATGTGTTCCTTAAAAAAATTTAAAATTTAAAATTATACAGATCAAACATGAATTCTCAGACATAATCTCTTTAAAAAAAATCTCTTTTAACCTACTTTTGCTATTGCAGTATTACATAAAAATGCAGTTTGTATGTCTTCAGGGCTGGGAGGTACATCTCAACAGCAAAGTATGTTCTTAGCATGCATGAGGCCCTGGGGTCAGGCCCCGCTACCAAAAGCTAAACAAACAAAAAAGTAGGCATCATACTGTATTCTTTGTTCTGACATTTGCATTTTTATTTAATAACTAATCATTTCACATCAATATACATATCTTCATATGCATAAAATTGCATAGTATAAGTACAATTTAACCTTTTTTCATGGAAATTAGGTTTTTTTTTTACAGAGTTTTGCTGACAATAAATGGCCTTTTATGTACTTTATACACATAAGCATTATTTGAGAATAGACAAGTAGGATTGCTAGGTTTAAAACTATGTGTACCTTTTTGTTAGAGGGTCTCACTAAGCAGTTTGGACCCGTAGTGATCCTCCTGTCTTAGCTTCCCCAGCGCTGGGACTTTTTTTTTTTTTCTTTTTTTTTTGGTGGAACTGGGGATTGAACTAAGGCCCTTGTGCTTGCCAAGCAAACACTTCTTCTATATGTGTATCTTAAGTATTAACAACTGATGACTTTCTCTGAGAAAATGTTTACCAAAGCCTGGTGGGGTGGTGCACACCTGTAATCCCAGCACTTGGGAAGTTGAGAGAAGGAAGACTGCTTTGAGTTAAAGGCCAGCCTGGACTGCATAGTTGATAGCTCAAGGTCAATATGAATTACAGTACAAGACCCTATCTTGTTA